GCTCCCCGTTTCCCACTGGCCCTACAAACTGGAACTGCGCTGCCCCCTTCTCTCCGGGGCCTGTAATAAACCGCTGCCTCTGGCATTTCATGCGTTCACTGAGTTCCCTCCCCGGGGTAACACGGACCAGCACAACAAACCTGACTGTGCTCCCGGCCAGGGCACTCCCAGAGCTACCTGGGTGGGAACAAACAGGTCAGACGAGAGCCACAAGCATGAACGAGCTTCCCATGAGAGGACATGTGGTCACAGCTGGACACAGCTAGGAGCCATGGCCGGGACGAGGCAGTACCCTGTGAAAGGCACCCTGCAAACATCCACGACCACCTAGCCTGGAGCCCTGTCGGGCAGGGCTGGAGTTTACAGCCACCCCCGCCAGAGACCTCAGGACAAATTAGAAAAAATAAATACATCAAGTCACTTACACAGAGTCACACGCACGCACCGAGCGGGCACAGAGGTGCTCACCGACCTCGCCCTGCACCACCACCCCGCTGAACACGTGAGAGACTTTGGACGCAGCCCTAGTCCCTGCAGACCGGAAAATGCCGGTGTTTGGGAAACCCTAGCTAGGAGCCAAGAGCTGGATGTTGACTCTAACCCATTGTTTTCTGTTATCTTAAAAAAATAAAAAAAAAAGAAAAGAGCTACAAACTCAAAAATTCAAAAAATTAGGTTATGAGCTTGATGTAATTAGGTCAGTGGAGCCCTAGTTTAATTTCAATACTTCTCATATTGCAATTACAGAAATGTGACAAATGCAGCTCTCCTAAGACAAAGATAAATGTCCACTTAAGTGGAGCAGTTAGTCTACTTCAATTCACAGCTCCTGCGTTTCGAGGCTTTGTACCATTTGAAAGGATGTGTTCAATTAAAGACCAGAAAGGCCACACTTGAGCTGTCAGCTGGTCCTTGAACAGCCCTAGGTTTTTATTAATAATGTAGGGTATTACTCTTTCATTCAAATTATCAAAGTACAGATCTAGTTTTTAAATTTTTATTTGAGGTACATGTTAAAAGTTCAACTGTTTCATACATTAACATTTCCTACTGAATTTGTGATTCAGATGAAATAATGAATTTCAGTATTTCTACATTTATTTTATATAAAGTGAAGATTAAATCAAATGATCTAAGTATTTCAAAGCAGGTTTTTGGATGAAGGCTATTTTAGGAAAGTTGGCACTTGATTACTACTAAATGTACTTGTTCAGCCACTCCAGTAAATTCCTTCTCGCCTCGTCAATGTAGGGCTTGTCTTCAGGTGAGCAGTCTTCTCTCTTTCGATGCACGAAGCCATGAGTTTGCCCAGAAAATGTTTTAATTTGATATGCAACTTTGCAGTGTTCCTTCAACTTCTGGGTCAGCAAAGAGACCTGGTATGCAAATGATTTCATGAGGACATAGGGTTTCAACCCTTTAGTAATTATTTTCCATTTCCCAAATCTTCAGTGAGTGTTGAGAACAGAGATTGAACATCAATGCTTTAAATCAGAAACAAGTTCCACAGCTACACTGAATTATTTCCTTTTAATTGTGTAACTAGCACAGTTCTTATCTTTGGCAAAGGAGAGATTTCAGAACAATATAAAAATGATACAACAGCAATTATTTGAAATCATTTGTATGAATGTATTAGTTACTAATAACAATAATTTCTAAATGACTGCTTTTGAACCACATTTTTTTCTTCTGCTTTTTTCCTTATCAATTTACTGGTTTAAGAAATCCATGTCTTCAAGGTCATAGACTTTATGGCAACTTTGGCATTACCATGGGGGTGCGGGGAGGGAGAGCCTGTTTCTACACCAGGCCACACTGAAACAATTCCTTCAGATGTGGCATTAAATAATTGTGTTTTAGGGGGACACAATTCTACCCTAAGTGGAACTATATAAGTGAAATTTAGTAAAACACATCTTTACTTATTTTTATTTAAGAGACAGAGTCTTGCTCTGTCATCCAGGCTGAGGTACAGTGGCATCACCATAGCTCACTGCAGCCTTGTACTCCTGGTGATCCTCCTATCTCAGCCTCCCAAGGAGCTAGTCTTTTCTTATTTTTTATAGAGATGGGGTCTCACTACGTGGCCCAGCCTGGTCTTGAACTCCTGGACTCAAGTGATCCTCCTGCCTGGATCCTCCTGCCCAGGCCTGCCCCATGCTCGGCAAAAAGCCATCATTAAAATGTTAATGTTCGGCCAGGCACGGTGGCTCATGCCTGTAGCCTGTAATCCTAGCACTCTGGGAGGCCAAGGCAGGCGGATGGCTCAAGATCAGGAGTTCGAAACCAGCCTAAGCAAGAGCGAGACCCTGTCTTTACTAAAAATAGAAAGAAATTAATTGGCCAACTAAAAATATATATAGAAAAAATTAGCTGAGCATGGTGGCACATGCCTGTAGTCCCAGCTACTCGGGAGGCTGAGGCAGAAGGATTGCTTGAGCCCAGGAGTTTGAGGTTGCTGTGAGCTAGGCTGACACCATGGCACTCTAGCCTGGGCAACAGAGTGAGACTCTGTCTCAAAAAAAAAAAGAAAAAAAAATGTTAATGTTGGAAAACATTTGGAAAACAAATGAAAACTTTAGGACTCCCCCCCACTTCCCCAGAAATGCCAAATCGTGCTATCAAATATATAAATGAGAAGAGAAAAAATGCCAACTTACTTGCTCAAGTGGAATCACAGCATCATTTTCAGCAAAAATGAACAGTGTGGGGTTCTTTAAACTGTAAACATCTTCAGAATCCTTGACGATGCCTGAGAATTGAGTACAGGGGCGTGAGAGTATGATTTCCACGCTCCTGCCTTGGAAAACCACATGCATATGGTCTCATTTATCACGGTAAAATATGCACTCTGGGAGCTTTATTTTCTAGCATTCCACAGACGTGGCCTCGCCTTATTAGTCAGACCCTCCTACCATCTACAGTATTCAGTAGGTATCAGGCCATCAAATAACGGAATTGGACCTTGTAGGCCCTGTGCGGTGTAAATGTCAAACTGTCGCTCTAGAAGTTTCTCACGTCTACACTAGCCCCACAGGTTCCGGCTTAAGTGCACTCAGTGGTTTCATGTGTAAGAGGAGCGGTCGTTTGAACAGGTGTTGATGCTCAGACAAGACCACAAGTGTCAAAGTGGGAGACTGCCTGGTCCCAGCAGGTCATTCTATAAAAATCAGTTTTCATCCTTCGTCTCAGAATCTGAGATTGATTCTGAAATTAAAAACATGCTCTACCGGACCCAGGCTGTCTGAAAACAACCTGTGGGGGTGCCCACTTCTGTGGGAAAATAAGAAGAAATTTTGCAGTAAGTTACATTTTAAGATAACACCAGGTAGAAAAAAAAAACTGATGTTTTTTTTCCACTTCCTGCCAGCAGCACAGAAAAATTAAGTAACAGAGAGCGTCTCCTCTCACCTGTAACTCCTTTTTAGGAGGGGGAGAGACACAGAAAAGATGCCCATGCTCCCTTTGCCCCCTCAGGCAAAGCCACACCATGTGTGGCTGGACCCGTTTGAAGTCCTCTGGGTCGGAATCCTGCCATGCGCGCCGGCTCGCGTACTGCACAGAAGCGGCCAGGAGGTGGCGCCCGTGAGGCGTCCACGCCTGAGCGCCTTGTGCTAACTCGCACAAAGGCACTGACTCTAGGGGTTTGCGACAGCAGGCCCCTTTGTTCCAGAGGCGACCGGGCACTGACTGCATTTATTAACACGTTCTTTTATGTTCAGCATTTATGGTCTGAACGCTTCTATATCGTAACTGGGCACTTACCGAGTTTATGTTCTTTTGTGTAAGTCAACATTTAAAGGGTTTTTTTTAAAAAATGCAAAAAGTAGACGAAAATACCACAGTGAGGAACCATTAGGCCAAATGAAAAGCATTATGATAGGCCGGGCGTGGTGGTTCAGGCCTGTAATCCCAGCACTCTGGGAGGCCGAGGGGCGGGCAGATTGCTCCAGGTCAGGAGTTGGAAACCAGCCTGAGCAAGAGCGAGACCCCTTCTCTACTATAAATAGAAAGAAATTAATTGGCCAACTAACATATATAGAAAAAATTAGCCGGGCATGGTGGACGCATGCCTGTAGTCCTGTAGTCCCAGCTACTTGGGAGGCTGAGGCAGGAGGATTGCTTAAGCCCAGGAGTTTGAGGTTGCTGTGAGCTAGGCTGATGCCATGGCACTCTCTCTAGCCTGGGCAACAAAGTGAGACTCTGTCTCAAAAAAAAAAGAAGCAGCATTATGATAGACTACAGACAGTCCCTGACTTCTGATGGTTTGACTTACAACTTTCTGATGTCATGGTGCAAAAGCAACATATATGCAACAGAAACCACATTTCAAGTGCCCATACAACCATTCTGTTTTTCACTTTCACCATTCAATAAATTACCTAAGATAAGCCAATACTTTATTATAAAATAGGTCTCATGTTAGATGGTTTTGCCCAACTGTAGGCTGATGTGAGTGTTCTGAGCATGTCTAAGGCAGGCTACGCTAAACTATGATGTTAGGTAGAGTAGGTGTAGTCGATGCATTTTTAATTTATGATATTTTCAATTTACAACGGGTTTACCAGGACGTAACCCCATCAAAAGCCAAGGAGCATCTGTATTATAGAACATGGCCAAATTGCCTTGCATGTCTTTTTTGTTTTTTACATTTTTTTAGTCTGAATGCTTCTATATCATAAACTTAGTATGCGATTTCTATACACAGATATAATGTTCTTATTTCATTGCTTTGATAGCTTTGGTTTGCTTTGCTAAAATGTATAAGTTGCTATTTACATTTTAAAGTGAGTTTTCCTTTCCCTTCTGTCTAGTGTGTGCACATATGTTTGTGTATAGTTAAGAGCAATTCGTATCTCAGAAAAATATTTTCACAGATGTTGCTCATAAAAGTATTGTTTGATATTAATCATCATCTCAGAAAGAACTGCTATCCCCTTCATCCTAGGTGAAGAAATGGAGACCTCAGGTTAGGTGACTTTCCCAAACTCACACTGTTGGGACTCAGGCCTTCTCACTCCCAGTGACATCCTCTGTTTAACTACACTGCAAATTTCCACTTTTTTTTTTTTTTGAGATAGAGTCTCACTTTGTTGCCGGGCTAGAGTGCCATGGCGTCAGCCTAGCTCACAGCAACCTCAAACTCCTGGGCTCAACCTCAAACTCCTGGGCTCAAGCAATCCTCCTGCCTCAGCCTCCCGAGTAGCTGGGACTACGGGCATGCGCCATCATGCACGGCTAATTTTTTCTATATGTGTTTTTAGTTGTCTAGATAATTTCTTTCTATTTTTAATAGAGACAGGGTCTCACTCTAGCTCAGTCTGGTTTCAAACTCCTGACCTTGAGTGATCCTCCCGCCTCGGCCTCCCAGAGTGCTAGGATTACAGGCGCCAGCCACCTTGGCTGGCCAGTTTCCCTAAGATGGCCATGTCTGCACTACTGGGTTTTGTGTGGCACTAGGTCAAAGCAGCTTGTGGTTGCTGTCACTCAACCATTCCTCCTTTGCATTGTGTAAAAATGCACCAGGCAGATGTACCGTAGACGGAGACCCCCGCCCTGAGCTCTGAGTATTTCATCATCAAGTGGTGGACGGCAGCCCCACCCCAGCAGAATCCCACGACGCCAATTTTCTGGGCGTGACACTGTTGCTTCAGGTACCTCAAGACAGCATCGACCTCTCTAGAACGGAAAGAAAAGGCATTCAGGAATCGAGGGTTATTCTGTGAGCTCCTCAAAGGGCTGTGCCGATGGTAACAGGGCTGTTGTCAGCAACTGTTATTCGAAGTTGTCCAAGGTTCTTATTTTCAGAGCTCCAGCCCTCATTACCTCCTGCCCAAGCCACCCGTCACGCCAGCAGGTCTCCGTGCCAAAGCCAGCCCTCCTCCAACTGCCCAACAGCTGCAGGCACGGGGTGCTCTTTCCAAAACACGGATCTGACCAGCTCTCTTCGGGACAAAGGCCAAAGTCCACAGCATGGCTCCTAAGACTTCAGTCCAAGACCTAGTCCCTGCTGCGTGCCCCAGACTCCTCTCTCCCCTCCGGCAGGCACGGGCCATACTGTGGGCAGCGCCCCAAACACTCTCTGCCTGCACACCCTGGAACTCGCAGCTCTGCATTGCTCGCCTCCTCCTGCCCCAAAGAGCGAAGCAAAATTTGGAAAGCCACCAGGCTATTTAAGCCACCAAGCACCAGGCAGCAAGAACAGTAGCCCTCTGGCAAATGGGTTGTCTGCAAACTGATTGCTTGGAACTCAGAACACGTTTTCAACTAGAAGGAGTGTAACAAAGTGGAGGTAGGGTGCGAGGCCAGCCCGGAAAGTTCCGTTTAATCTGGTAGGGAACAAACACTGTATGTTTGCAATTAAAAAATGTAAGTACTATGCAATTCTATGACGCCTACTTTTCTTTTAATCATAACATATATTAGAACACATTTAAACATATGAACCATACCACTCTGTGTGCAAGTGGTTATCTGCATAATGTTTTCTTGCAGGATTTAACTAATCCCACAAAATAAAGTGTAGCAAGTAATAGTTTTTGTCGCTTCTAGTTTTAGATTTTTTCTTGAATGCTTTGATCTTAGGAATAACTGTCTTAATTGCAAAGGACAAGAAGGAAGAAGGCATTTCTGTAAAAATCCTTTAACTGACTCAAGTGAACTGTGTTGCTCCCAGTCTATTCCCTGCTTTTCTGGGAACACCAGGATTCAGCTTTGGAGGAACAACCTCTCCCCATGATCAGGCCACATTCTTGGGTGGCCTCCGCCCTCAGTTCCAGGAGTAAAGTACATGGCTCAGGCCTGGGCAATCAAAGTTTGGCAATCTCTTGGACACAATGATTAGTTCAAGGATGGATTTCTGACTCAGTCCTAAACAAGGGGACAAAATGAGACTTGCTGAGTTGCTTGGAGAGAAATCAACAGAAGGCTGGAGCTGCTGCAGCCATTTTGCCACCAAGAGGTGGGAGCTGCCTGAGAATGGGACCATCATACAGGAAATGGAGCTGAGAGATGCTGGGAGGGCGAGTCCTGGGGATGTCTTTTAAGCTATGAAACAAACCCTGCTTGAAGCCAAAAACTACCTCTTTTCAGTTCTATGAACCAATACAAATCCCTCAACCCCTTAAGCAGTAAGCATTCAGGATGTGTTTTCTGTCCTTGCAAAGAGAAGACACCAGGACTTGTGTCTACTTTCAAAGTTACTGTTTCCATCTTATGCCTCCCTTTAAGAAGTGTGGCTTTCCTTTTCCCCTGTGGGAGAGTCTCACGGGTGCTCTAGCCCTGCCTGCACCAGTCACAAGTGCAAGGCAGACCCACACGGCATTTTCGTGGAAAACAGCAAAATGTCCTAATTATTCTCCCTGCCTCCCATACCACCCCTCCGCGCCCTGGCAAAGCTGAATTTTGTATTCTTAGTGCCACAGTCTTTCTGGTTCTCTTGTGTTTCCTCTTCCAATGTGCTCGTAACGTCTTGCTTTGTTTTTCTTGGGTTGGGAGGTTGGGTCCCTGGGAAGCCAGCTTGGATTTGGACGACAGCCTGCAGGAGGCTTATGGGGGGCTCCTGGGGTCCACCCTGGGGGAGAGGCAGGGAGGGCACAGGACTGGCAGAGACGTGGGGCTGTGCTGCCCTGGGTGGGGGGGCTGGCATGGCTTTTGAGTCACCTCATTTAGGGGTCAGGGAGCTGGGCCTTCACACCCTACAGTGCCCATTCACTGGGGCTGACTCAGACAAGGTGGCCAACACCCCAGAGAGCTGGGGGCTTCCCGCAGGCAGCTCTCCCAGCAGGGGAAACAGGCCCTTCCTTCCCGAAGACAGGTCGGGTGGCCCCTCGCAGCCCCACCACGTTTTGTCTCATCTGCTCTAGGAGCAGGGCTTCGCCAGGTGGACTCGGAGCTATAGCATCTAGCCCTGGTCTCCTACCTGCAGGACCCTGAGGTTAATACTTTCTAACATCCACAGTCCCGGGGACTCGGCCAGGCTGCAAGCTCCAAGGGCAGCCAGCAGCACCTGCCCATGGTCCCCACAGAGACCCCACGGAGACCCTAGGGGGACCCAGGTCTGCGCAGGCGCCTGGCCTGAGCCACAAAGCACTGCTATTCTGCATCGGCCACTAGAAAGGGGCGGCCCAGTGAACAGGGTCGGCCCCTGCAGAGCTGACAAGGGCTGTGGGCAGAGGGTCGCCCACTGTCCACCAGACCAAGAGAGGGAGACCAGTAGCCCCAGAGTCAGCTCTGGAATGCTGGGAAGTTCAGGGCACTCTCGTGGTAGAAAAAGGGGCAGAAGGTTCCAGGGACCGAGTGGCCACAGGTGGGTGGCCACATTATTAGCAGTCGCCCTGGCCTTGGCTTGGGGGGCAGCTTATCAAACAGAAGGCTGACGGTGATCAATCTTGGGGCTCACATATGTGGTACAGGGGAGAGTCAGGTGATGGCGAGTCGAGGGCTCGGGGAGAAATGGCCACTCGAGTCAGCGGCTAGTGTTGGGGGAACCCCTTTTCCCCTGGGCTCAGGCTTTCTTGTGCAGGAGGAGCTTGTCCTTAGAGAATATTCCTGGCCTCTTCCCCCATCTGTACTTAGACTTCCAGACAGAAGGAAGGAGAGCTGACCGGCTGACAGCTCTGGTTTCTCTAGACTGGGCAGAGCAAATGCAGGCAAAGGCTGCAGCCTGGGGGTTCCTCTCCAGCTTCCAATTAGCTCCTGGACCCCGGCAACAGCAATCCTGGTTGGGTGAGTCTGCTCTAGAGACCCAAGGTCCTCCTCAGGTGGATGGAGTGAGACAGATCTAGGCTGGGTCTGGGGAGCCTCTGGGTCTCAGATCGAAAACCGCGGTTTCCAACCGCCTCAGCAGCACTGAGGCTGGCACTGGATCTAGTTGCTTTCTTCTGCCCCTCTTCTCAGCTGGCTCTGCAGCCAGGAGGGGAGGAAAGGGCTGCTGGCCCTGTGGACCCAGTAATCCCTGTGGATTACCCAGGTCGGGGTAATCAGTCCGGCCTATTACCTCTATCAGGTTCCCCTGCACACCAGTGGCACCAAGAGTGTCCCAGAGAGCGACACAGGTGAGCTTGCCGGGGCGGCAGGAGTGCTTGTGGGCTCCCAGTCTGCGGCTCAGAACTGTGCTACATGAGAACATTTTTCCTTTACGTTCAGGAAGGACTCTGGGCTGCAGCCACTCGATGCCCTGCCTGGAGGTGTGGATGGGGGTGTCTGAGCAGCGAAGCCAGGCCCGCTCTCTGGGCCACACGACACACACAGCCCTGTCCTCGGGTAACTTACTTATCGATCTTCCGGGCATTCTTTGTTTTCAACCACTCGTGGAAGGTAGACCGGTCGGCAGAGGGGTGCCATGGCTCCTGCCCTACAAAGAAGTCTGGAACAATGGCTCTATAAAATAAGGACATGAACTGATCTTAGTTTCAGAACTGCTTAGACTGGTTTATTTGCTTACGTTTATTGAGAAACTTGCTGAGTTAGAGATTCGAGCTCAGAGAAAAGGAAAAGTAGTGGGTGTGAAGGCCAACTCTGATTGCAGCAAAGAGACCACCTGGCACCAGGCCACCACGGGCGTCACAACCGCAAGTGCATGGCCTCTGGCGGCCGGCTCATAACCCTGGGAAACGGCAGGGCCGTCAGGCGGGGCACGCTCCCCGCTGGACACGCTGGCACAGGCCGAGGGGGCACCTGGGCACGTGGGCACGGGGGGAGGACGGCTGCAAGGCCCCTGCTGCCCTGGGGGACCTGCCCCTCTCGGCCGGCCCTGGAGCTCCCTGGCCCCTCACAGGAGCCTCGGGCCGGAGGGCACACCTGGTGAGCGTGTCCAGTCACCGTGACCAAGCAGTTTTCACCAGCCCGACAGCAGCAGGACACAGTTTCCTGTCCAAAGGGCACAGTCCGAGGCAGGTTCTAAAAGAGGCTGCAGAGAGAAGACGAGCCTCGCCCGGCCCGTGTGGCTCTCCCTCACAAGTCAGCCCAGAGGGACGGAGCCAACACCGCCCGGCCCGAGGCCTGTTTCCTAAAATAAAGAGTCGCCGCCTGGTTGGGGGAGCACCCCTCCTCCCTCGGGGGTAGACGGAGCACTGACGCTCGGTCAGAAACCCCAAGTTCGGGGCTCAGGACCGCTGCACACTGCGCGTGACCCTAAGAGGTCATTTAACCACTTTTACCCTCCTGTCCTTGATCTGACGAAGAGCGCCCTGCGCCGCCCAGCTCAAAGGCAGAGTCAGCTGTGTGAGTGTGAAAGTGCTTTGCAAGTCACAGCTGTCTACTCCACTGTGACGCTGTGACTCCAGCCAAAGAACCCACCATAAGACAACACAAACCGAAACCCATCAACCTGCTGCGTGTGTCTGGGTGAGCTGGGCAGTCTCGAACCTCTGTCTTTACGGTTTCCTTCCGGCTCTGCAAAAGGAGGCAGCAGCACTTCCTCCCCCAGGGGTTGCTGGCCGGCCCTTCGCACAGGCTCTGGCCGAGCTGGAAGGCGATGGGGTCGGCTGTGTCTTAACTATTGGGCCCGCCCCTGGGAGGCTCAGCCGCCTCATCCTCAGGAGGGAATCGGGACGTGAAAAAGGGAAACCTCAAGGGGGACGTTTTCACTCAGCACTCAAGTCTGCAGCAGGCTGCAGTGGCTGTGATTCCCTTAAACCAGTTTCTCTCCCTAGAAAAATAAGGTAGGTGCGCCCTCTGGTTTCCATCTTCTCCTTTTGAGAAAACAACAGGAATCGGGGAGGTGCGCGGGCTGGAGCCTGTGGGGTTTACGCTTTCTGAGGCTGGGGAGGAAGGAGGGGTCCCTGCTCCCCTCTGGGCTCTCCTGAAGCCTTTGCCAACACCAGCAAATGACAAGCAAACAGGTGGCAGCCCCACCAACGGCAGCCATGGCCACCTGGACGGACAAAGAAGTAAACTCTGGGAGACACGCAAGGTCTCACTGTACGATTTCTGGACCCCTGTCTAATTCAGACCGGGCCATGGTGGGACATGTCTGGACCAGGAAGAGCCATGGACGCCCGGTGGTCCAGGTAGCCCTGTGAAATCTCACACGGGGCTGGGATGCTTCAAGTAACGGGCCCGCTGCAGAGCAAGGTCCGCCCAGGGGTCCAGGGCCGCGCCCGGCCAGGGCCGCACACAGGGAGAGAACTGCCGGTGTCCAACACGCCCACGGGGCCAGGTACGCCCAGGGGAACACAGCGCCCAGGGACTGGGTCAGGAGCAGTCGGCTTCCACCAGGTGGGGGCTTAATTTCACCCATTTCCCATTTCCCTTCACCGCAGGGAGATAAGGAAGCAGATGATGTGAATTAGAATACTGTGCAGTCAGGGAACAAAATGAAGCGCAGAAATTTACAGGCGTGTAAACAAAGGAACAGAACTGTATACGTACGTGTATCCGTTTCCTGCGATCATGTCAGCCATATACCTGGTATTGGGCAACTGCCAGCCGAATATATCCTGAATGACAATCACAGCTTTGCCTGCGGCAACAGGGGACTTGGTGACATAAGCTTTGATGTGCTCGACTTGAACTTCACACCCCATGCCTCCATATTCCAGCCTATGGCCAATGTCGCACGGGCAAGGGTTGGCTTCGTTAGCCATTGCAGATGTCTGAGTCAGGCTACAGAGAGAGAAGCACGAGTTACGTTCTGAACGGTACCCATCTGAAGATTATAAATAGTAAGTAAACTAACATCAAGATTACAGAAAAAAACTGTAATCCTAGCACTTTGGGAGGCCAAGACAGGAAGATCACTTGAGGTCAGGAATTTGAGACTAGCCTGGGCAACATAGTCAGACCCACTCCCCACAAAAAAAAAATTTTTTTTAAGTATTATGACCTTTAATAATATGTGCACATGGGACAAAGGTCAAATGGTACAAAAGGGTATATCGGAATAAAAAGCAAACTGCCCTCCTTGCCCTGTCCACCAGCCATCCAGGTCTCCTCCCTGAAGTCCATCATTGTTTCTAGTTTCTTATATATCGTTTGAGACGTTTACTATGAATGCATAAACATTACACGTGTGTATCATCAACCTTAAGAAATTTAATGAGGTTATTTTGTGTTTAGTTCTGCACTATTAAATCTAATGAGTTATATCAGCTGAGCGCAGCGGCTCATGCCTATAACCCCAGCACTCCGGGAGGCCAAGGCAGGACAGCTTGAGGCCGGGTGTCTGAGACCAGCCTGAGCAACATAGTGAGACCCTGTCTCCATAAAAAAAATAAGAAAAATTAGCTGGGCATGGTGATGCATGCCTGTAGCCTCAGCTACTTGGGAACTGGGGTGGGAAGATTGCTTAAGCCTAGGAGTTCAAGACTGCAGTGAGCTATGAATACACCACGGCCCTCCAGCCTGGGCAATAAAGTAAGATTTTGTCACTAAAAAAAGAAAATTATAGAAAAAAATTAATTTTAACTACAACTATGGTATTCATTATGTAAGAAATCAAAGGTAACTTTGGTTCTGGCAACACCACAGATTAAGGGTGCAAACACTAGAAATGACAGACTGGACGAAACCAACAAAGAAAAATAAAAACGGAGGAGCTCACAGGAAAAAGGGGGCTCCCCGTGAGCCAGGACTGGAGAGGAAACGGAAAGCCAGAGTGAGGAAGACACAGGGGATGCCAGAGGCACCCGACAAAGTTGGGAGACAGGGCTGGCCCGGGAACACACCTGAACAACCGAGTGCTTAGGGTTTTGTATCCAAGGAGGCCCTGCCACCACATGGGATGGGAATGTGTAACCGAGCCCCACCCCACAATGCTGAGCCCTCAAAGGTTGGCATCTGGGGGAAGGGGAAGCCAAAACAAAACAAGAAAAGCTCCATCAACCAGGATTAGGAATATGGCAAAGCTCATCTCACTCTAAATTCTGAGTGGAAGGGAAAAAAGAAACCAAACCCCAACCCTACACGATCCTTGCAAGGGAAATACCTCGGCTGAGAAATCAACACAACTGACCCTCGGTCAGCGAAGCCCCTGGAACACCTGGCAGAGGCAAATGCAGATCCACTTTATAGCAAGACTTCCCCAATGCAGGCCAAAAAAATACTGCCCCGTCAAGGAGGAGCTCACTATAAAAAAACTACACACAAGAAAGCGATTCAAATAAACAAAAATCAGCAGATACAACCACCAGGGGAAATTTATGAAGAAAATGGGGTTTGAAATGTGAGGAGACCTCAAAAAGCTTGATGAATCAAAATAGAAAGCAGGAGAGAAAAAGGAAATTTAAAGACCTGTTAACTACAAGGCATGAAATAACACAGCTGAAATAATTTTAAGTCTCCTCAAGTGCAGTCGTCAGACTGGGAAAAAAAGAGTTAAACAAAGAGTTCAATCTGTAACTGACTATGAACAATCAACTGAAATAACCTTCAGACCAACCTGAGTTTAAATAAATGTAAACAGATTAAATTCACTAGTTGAGATAGATTCTCAAACTGGATTTTAAAAAATTGAGCTTCGATAAGAAAAGTGGAACTGGAAACACTGAACTAAAGGACACAGGTAGATCAGAGAACTATTCAGGCTGCTGTAATGAAATACCATAAACTGGGTAGCCCATGAACAACGGCAATGTATTTCTCACAGTCCCGGAGGCTGGGAAGTCCAAATTCAAGGCGCTGGAGATCCAGGATCAGGGAAGCCAACTTTCTGCTTCTTGGATGGCACCTTCTCCCTGGACTTCACTGTACAGAAGGGACCTGCCAGCTGTCTGCAGTCTGTTTTATAAGGGCACTATTTCCAAACACAAGGACTCTGCCCTCAGGACCTAATCACATCTCAAAGGCCCTATTTCCTAACACCATCACCTTGAGGGTTAGGATTTCGTTAGAAACATTCAGACCATAGCAAATCCTACAAAGAGAGAATGATGAGATGAAAATAAAAACAATAAAGAAAATCCAAAAAGATTAAAATCTGACCCCTTGGAGAGTTATAAAATAGACACATCTCCAGCAAAACGAACCAAATAAAAAGGAAAGAATGCTAAACACACACCACCACCACGATATCTGGAATGAAAAGGTGACATCGTTAAAGATTTTCTCTTTAAAAATCATAAGAAATTAGTTCAAACAACTTTATGCTGAAAAATTTGAAGACCCAACAAAACTGACAACTTGGTAGAACAGAAAAGAGAGGGTGTGTCTTCCAACTATGTTATGTGCCTTAATTTACAAACCAATGTAAAAGTAAAAAAGGTGGTGAGATGACTCTAGGTTAAAAGAAACTAAAGAGAAACAAACCCAACTGCATCATGTGAACCCTAACTAGATCCTAGTTCAAAATCAGGAACAGCTATAGGAGACATCTGAGAGACAGCTGAGGGATTAAATATGAATGAAAGCTGACACTGTGCATTATTAATAATTATATAAGGTGTGATTAAGGTGTGATAATAGTGGTTATGTAGGAGAATGTTCCTAATTTTATTATAGAAGATGTGTGCTCAAGTGCTGGGAGATGAAGTGTCATAACATCTGCAATTTACTCTCAAACGTTTCACAAAATACATACACACACTACACACACGACACACACATATTAATCGATACATAAAGCAATATGGCAAATTGCCAAGAATTACTGAATCCAGATGATCAGCATATAACTGTTTGCTATACTATTCTTTCCATTTCTCCATATTTGAAATTTTTTTCATAGTAGAAAGTTGGGGTGGGGGGACCTGACCAGAAATATTCACTAATCAGAGAGAAAAAAAAATCAAGAGTGAATGTCAACTTGGAGCAAATAAAATCTGGCTATGGCATGGATACAAAAACTATACAAGCACAAGATGAGAATAAAAAACTGAATGATTCCTTTACTTATAAATTTAGATACAAAACTCTTATGTGAAATATTAGCACGCTAAATCTACAATATATATACATATATGTTATATATATATATATATTTTTTTTTTTTTTTTTTTTTTTTTGAGACAGAGTCTTGCTTTGTTGCCCAGGCTAGAGCGAGTGCCGTGGCGTCAGCCTAGCTCACAGCAACCTCAAACTCCTGGGCTCAAGCAATCCTGCTGCCTCAGTCTCCCGAGTAGCTGGGACTACAGGCATGCGCCACTAAGCCCAGCAAATTTTTTCTATATATTTTAGTTGGCCAATTAATTTCTTTCTACTTATAGTAGAGATGGGGGTCTCGCTCTTGGTCAGGCTGGTTTCGAACTCCTGACCTTGAGCAATCTGCTCGCCTCGGCCTCCCAGAGTGCTAGGATTACAGGCGTGAGCCACCGCACCCGGCCTATATTTTTAAATGTATCTATCATGACCGTATCAGGAATGCCAGGATGATTTGCCATTAGACATTCTATGATGTAATCCATGATACTGACCAATTAAAGAAGTGAATCCATGTCATCGTCACAATAGATACAGAAAAAAGCATTTTGATAAAATTCAACAGCTATTATGGGTTGAAAGGGGCAATGATGCAACACAGCTGCCCACGTGAGAAAACAAACCAGATGGATCCCAGTGCACCACACGCAAGTGAGCGTATCAGACGGTTAGAAATCTAAGTTGGAAAAGCAAAACTAAGCTGTTAGAGGAAAATATAGGAGAACACGTTTTTCCCATATTTTGGAATAAAAAGGATTAACAAATTTCATTTCATTGTAACTGATTAAAAAAAAAAAAGTAAGACAACTGCAGAAAATTGAATGCTGAGTGGGTATTTTTGATGATATTGAGTGTAAGGCTGGTGGCAGGCACCTCCTCCCCTCCCTAGATCAAAAAAGAAAAGGCTCACAAGACCAGGCCCCGCTGAGAACAATCACACCCAGGTGTCGACCTGGATAAGAAAGTTTTGGCTCCTGGATTCCCCAAATACTGCCAGCCCCTCCTATTTCTCAATGACCACCAAAGGTCACAATGGGAAATCCCCAGCTCTTCCCGCCAAAAGTCCCTAGACTGGCCCAAATGGTATAAAAGGACTCACCCACTTCAAATGGATGCGACTTCTCAGGCCCCACCCCCTTGGGACCCCAGAACCTCATCCAGGAGCACATAATAAAGCCACATTGTTTGGCCCCACTCTTTGTCTCTCTGTTTCTGTCACCACCAAAAAACTTTACATTGAGAATTGTTAATTTTGGCAGGGAAAAACAATGGCATTGGAGTTACTTTTTTTTTTTTTAAAGAGTACTTGTCTTTCTACAGATTCATCATGACGTATACACAGATGAAATGATCAGGCATCTGGGATTTACTTCAAAAATAGCCCAGTGCAGGGTAGGGATGGAGATGTCTGTGTGTTGACAGCACTAGAGCCAGGAGTGAGCTCAGGAGCATCCTTTGCACTCGTCTCTCTACTTGTATACATGCTTGATACTTGCCACAACAAAAGGCTTTTAAAATTTCATTAATAAGATAACTAAGATAGTAAGATTAATAAGATAACAATTAAGATTAATAATAAAATAGAAGGCTCCATAAATTAAGAAAACAAGATAGACTAGGAGAAGATACTATTTTTAGAAACAGAGGACTTAATATCTAGATAAAATATATGAAGAATCCTTTTAAATCACCAAGAAAAAGACAACCCAGTAAGAAAATGCTCCAAAGATATGAATGAGCAATTTAAAAAAGAATACACCGGAATGGCCCATAAACATATCAAAAGATATTCAACCTCACTGTATTTAAGGAAATTGTATTAAGAACAACAATGAAATACCATTCTACATCATGCAGATCAGCAACAAGTTTGTGTTGGAGACTAAGACCCTCCACATCCCAACGACTTGTCCTATGCGGGCCTCAGACTAAAATAGCACCCAGCCCTCCAGCTATAGTTCCGAGAAGAATGCATTCCATGACGTGCTTGCTCCAGGGCATGCTACCTGCAATTGGTCCCGAACCCCTGCCAGGTTGAGGTTGAGTGATCCCTCACAAACAGCTTCCGATGGAGGATGGAGATAAGACGCTGATTGGGGCTGATTGGCCCACACCCAAGCCTCATCATCCCCCCACTCTATTTTTCTGTTTCTACTTCCTTGTTTCTGTATATAAAACCTACTAAGAATCCAAGAATCCAAGTAAAGTAGACCTTGACAACCATTTGCTTGGTCTCGTTCCTTTCTCTTGCCCATCTCTTTCAGGCACGGTCCCCCTCGCCCCCGCGAGTAACAGAAGGTCCCGCGGGCCGGGACAAGTTTGTTAATACTCAGATGGGGTACAATCGACACAACCCTGGAAAGCAGACTGGCAAGGTCTGGAAAATGGGAAGGCACCCTGCAACCCAGAAATCCCACACTAGATGTTTCTCTGGTGAGAAATTCGCACAGATACACGTGGCACATGCCATGAACATAGAAGGATGTTCTTGGCATTCCCAATGTGACAGCAACAATTTGAAGCAACGGAATTGACCACTAACAAGGCAATGGAACAAATTGTGATTTATTCATTGTTGAGGGTGGAACTGGGTTCCCAAAAAAGACTTGTTCAAGTCCTATCCCCCAGTCCCTGTGAATGTGACCTTAACAGGAAACAAGGTCCTTGGATATAAGCAAGTTAAGATGATGTCATGCTGGATTAGGGTGGGCCCTACATGCAATGACTGGTATCCTTATAAAGGGACAATCTGGACACAAGGACAGACACACAGAAGACGAGGCCACCTGCAGAAGGAGGGAGAGACTGGAGTGGTGCTTCTATAAGCCAGGGAGTGAGGAGGATTGCTAGGGGCCACCAGAAGCAGGAAGAGGCAGGAAGGGTTCTCTGCAGGTTTCAGAAAGAGCATGGCCCTGCTGACTCTTTGATTTTGGACTCCTGGGCTCCAGAACTACGAGAAAATTCTGTTGTTTCAAGCCACCCAGTTTGCAGCAATTTGTGACAGCAGCCGTAGGACACGGATCCACGCGTCAAAAGAATATTACATGGCAGTTCAATGAACAAACATATGAAAAGGCTTAAAAACATAATGCTATGTGAAAAAACAAGTGCTATTTTGATGCTAAGTAACAACCAAAAATAATATATATTTTATTAATAATAAATACACTGTAGTGAAAGTATCTTGTATGAGAATGAAACACATCACCATTAGGACAGTAGTCACTGGAAGGGAGGCGGGGAAGGATGGAGAATTGCTGGCTTTAATTATATTTGTTACATTTTATTTCCTTAAAAAGTTTTGATCTGAAGTACGTGGGACAAAATGATATTGTCTTTTAAATCGCAGTGATGGGAAAATAGGTGGCTGTTACTTTATTTCCTGCACTTCACTGAATAGTCTTAGTGTTTCATAATTAGAAATCAAGCAATTTGACTCTAAGGAGAAAGGGATTAATAACTAGCGCTCCAATCAAGGACGAAGGACACTAGTTTTCTTGGTTTTGTTTTCATAAGCAACATTATAGAACTGTTATCCGCAACAGCCAATAATTCAGCATTAATAGCAGTAAATGTTGTGCCCTGTAGCACTATTTGCTGAGCAACAATTCATTCCTTGGACTGATTTCTTACCCGGGCTGTCGTATGAGGACCGAGGGACAACAGAAAAGCCCAGCCATCCCAAGGCATTCTCAAATCTGATTTTTTTTTTTTTTTTCACTTTTTCTTCGTTTGATATCCACTTTCCAGAAGCAATGTTTACAGCCAGCAGAGCAGCGCTCTGGACTGATCTGGAAGGGCTATTCTCCAGCAGGACAGGCCTGGGCGTGGCCCCACCTGGGCGCCAAGACCACAGTGG